AACTGCTTTGGGGTTTTAAATGGCAGCTGCGTTAGAAGGGACCTCCTCTAGAGTCCTGCCCTCTATGCCAAGGTTCAGATGACTTGAAAAGACCTCATATGTCATTCTGTTCTGGGATCATCACATTACAGTTGGGCCTGTTCTTGAACTCTATTAAAGACTCATTTCTTGCGCGTTGTTTTTTCAGAAATAATACAGTTGATCCCAGCAGGGAATGGGTTTGAACACCTTTTCCCACCACACTTTCTCAATTTCTTGACATTATCAGTGGGTTTATTCTTTTGTTCCTGTTACCACTATGGTGGCTGCCAGTCTTAGTTTCCTAATTTCTGTAGCTCTAGTCATTAGAGCTAATGATTAGCTCTCCTGCCTATTAGAATCTAATAGGCAGGAGAGCTGATAGTTCTTACTAGAATGCTCTTACTGGTTCTTGTTTTCTACCTTTTCAATCATGTAATGGCTTGACTCCGGAGAATCTGCTAAAATTTCCACAACCTTATGATCTGGAGAAAATCATGGACGATTCCATTATATGTAGTAGCAACTCTAGTCGAGGGATCTTAAAGAATTCAAGGTCAGGGGCTGTGGAAAGGATAATTGCATATTATAGTTTAGGAAGTATCTGACTCATCAGAGTCTGTAGGTAGTGCAAATCATTAACATGCTGGGTCACTAACCAAAAGGTTGGAGATTCAGTTCCACTCAGGGGTGCCTGAGAAGAAAGGCCTGTCAATCTGCTGCAGAAAACTCAGCCACTGAAACGCCGATGGAGCACAGTTCTACTGTGACACATGGGAGACCATAGTCAGTCGGAGTCAACGTCACAGCAACTGCACGAGTGATTGGTTGACAAGGAGATTTCATGGTAACTTACCTGAGAATAGGGAGCAATTTCCTCCCCAAAGTATTGTTGGAAAAGATCAGACCTAGGATGGCCACCAAAATTTAGATAATAAAGCTTCTACAGCTTTAGAAAAGCTCACTGGCTCAGAGGATATTGGACATGAATATCCTCTGATATTCTGCTTCAGCAGATGTTTTATGGGTGTTGGTCATACAAACCACGGAGGCTTCGTCCATTGTTGTATTTGTTAGTGGCTGTGGAGTCAGTCGATTGGGACATCGGACAATCCCATCTGCTCAGACTAGAACCATAGGGTTTTCAAAACTGACTTTTCAAAAGCAGCGCATCAGGCCTGTCTTCTGAGGCACCTCTGGGTGGGTTAGAACATCTACCTTTTGGTTAAGTTTCCCATATTGAACCATTTGTGTCAGGGCAGATGTATACTTTCCACATTTAAAGACCTATCTGTCACTTTTTGTGGAACAAAATTTGCAAGTAGTGAAAAGAATGTCATAGGGTCTTGTATCTCAAAATAGGAGCCAAATGTTTTCAAGTTAGCAGTACTGAGATGAACACATCTTCATACGTAGATGGACTTTGTGAGATATTATTAGGAAATGAGGGTTAATAGAACAACTTAAATGCTTTGAACATAAGGGGGAAATGGATGGTAGGAACACGGGTGGAAATTTGAAACATTTGATAATTATATAATTGGAGTCTCATAATTTTTGAGATATAAATCAAACCCATTAGATCAGAATGTATTTTCTTTATGTTCTTTTAAGTCTTTTACATGTATAATTGTTTAAGATGAATTAGCTATGCTTATTATTGAGGATTAGTAGAGATGAGGGATACTTCAAAAAATTCATGGAAAAATGGAATGCACAGATAATTAAATATTTTCATGAACTTTTAAAACTAGTCCTATATAAGAGTTCTCAATAAGCCTACACCCAAACCCAAACTCACAGCCATCAAATTGATTCCCACTCATGGATGATTCCCACCTATAAGCACAGTAGAAGGGTCCCTGTGGGTTTCTGAGACTGTAAATCTTTAGGAGAGCAGAAGGCCTCTGCTTCCCCCTACAAAGCAGCTGCTGGGTTTGAACCAGCCACCCTTGTGTTGAACAGCCCAACACTACACCAGCAGGCTTCAGCAACAGACATAGGTGATTCAAGTTTCACTTTGATGTTTTCAGGAGAGTCACAATTAAACAGAAAAAAAAATCAACTCACTGCAATCGAGTCAATCCCGACTCACAGCGTCCCGGTAGGGAAGGATCAAACTGCCCCGTGGGTTTCTGAGACTGCCACTCTTTACAGGTGTAGGAAACCTCATCTTTCTCCAGTGGAGCGGCTGGTGGTTTCAAACTGCCCACCTTGTGGTTAGCATCCTAATGACTAACCACTATGCTCCCAGGCTCCTTGCTCAGGAGAGCTAGTAAATATTAAATAATAGAAAACAAACCCTTCAACGTTCCACTACTGGATACAATGCCTATTTTTATTATTTTTCAAAAGACAGTCATACTTTTGTAGATGTATATACAATTATCAATTTGTACAAAATATGTTGAATCCTCAGGGATATCATTTTCAAAGTTATATTTATGGTTTGAATATTCCTAATCACTTTAGTATTATTCATCATTATTGTTAATAATGATGTACCATCATTATTAAATTGTAATTTGTAGCCTCTTGTCAAACTATTTCATGCTAGTCTTTCTCCATTTAATTATATTTAATACATACAAAATAAAAATTTAGATTGTTTTGGTACCTACTGAGGATCGAAGTAAACATTCTGAATGGTTTCATTGACATATAATTAACAAATCCATGGTTTAATTATATTAAAAGGAGTTATACAATAATCACCACAATCTATTTTAGAACATTTTCTTTATTCTTATACCCATCATTATTAGGTCCTTATTACCCCTAACCCATCTACCATAACCCTAAGGAACTATTATTTTGGTTACTGTCTCAATAGATTGACTTATTCTGGATTTCATGTAAATAAAGTCATACCAAAAACCCCGAAAATGACAGCAAAACAAAACACAGATAAACCTCGATCCAAGTGAAAGCCGAAGGTAATAGAAACTAGAACAAATTAAAAATGGGAAAGCAAATAATATGCAAAAATTTAACCTAACTATATCTACCTAACTATAATCTGCTTTTCAACTCATTCTGCCTGAGGACAAGAGTATTCACATCTCTGGTGAATGAGTGCAGGGAATTCAATGGAGCTTAATCCCCATGGGGCTGCTGTAAATGGAATTTGGGTTTTTACCATTATCCATAGCCTTCTGTAAACTGGTTGTGAGGTATTTTAAGCTCTGATAAAATTTCTTCCTCTGATTTTGGAATGTAATACATATAATCCTTGGATCACACTGACTGGTGTACTCCTTCTTAGTGGACGTAGCTGATGCCTCGTAGATGGATGCTTACATTAAGTCAAGCCTTCAGACTCCAGATGCTGTTCATTTGGATACCAGGACTCCTTGATTTATTCACTACACTTTTCGATAGCATCCCTGCCTTCAGTGATCAAAGTTATCACTTAAGCAAATCATTGGTAACAGTAGAAAGAGCATTCTAAAGAAGACACTGTAGTTTAAAAGTTAGCGG